AGCCGCAAGATAGGATCCTCTATACCAGCCTCTGTACCCACTTGGGGAGCAAATCCAAGAGAGCAATACATATGAACTAGGATCCTAGAGAAACCTTCGTTACTCCCAATAACAAGGATCCTGGTAACTTTGTCAATAATAATATCTTTACTACTAACTCTATAGATTTTGATACAGGAATGAGCCCGCTCATTTCCAAAGAACTTCAATAGCTATGATAGATAATCTCAAGTGTACCTATAATAGTCAAACCTATACCGAAAGTCTCCGCAACAAGCCACAAGCTCTCAAGATTCGCTCTTGCAATTGCTGAGACCGAGGTCCCAAAACGCTTCCAAATTCTTAGCATAAATCCTTATGACAGGACTACGGATCCTGAAGAACGTATGGCACAATACAGGGAAAAAAATGGAGATCATCTATTCCCACACAATTGAAGGAAGCTTGCATGTGCAATGGTTTTGGTTTCACCGTCACGGGTCCAACCTTGAAATGGCTACTAATTGTTCCTCCTTACTTTATTACTTTGTTTACATAGTTAGTTAATATTTTTAACAGCCTATTTTCTTGTAGCAAAACATTCGAGAAGATTACTAGTGATCTCTATCGGGTGGTTCAGGATCCTAAGGAATCCTCCAGGGATTTCATGAGTAGGTTTGGCAAGGAACTTCTGAGTATCCCCAACATTAACATGGAAATTGTCGTGGAAACCTTAAAAATGGGCCTAAAGAAAGACTCTCCTATCTACAAAGACCTCGTAATGTCTTTATGCAAAAGAATAGATGAAGTAAGGAGCAGAGTAATAAGGTTCATACGGCTCGAAAAAGACACGAAGATTCAAAAGTGGAGAAACCCTCCAAGATCATTTAATAACCCCAATAGGAAGGCTGAATCCTCAACTCAAAGACCCTATAAATCTAAACCTAATTCCATACCCCGATCATCATAAGGTTAATCCCCTTGAGGATGAAAGGGAGGAAGATGAATTCCCAAAGATCATTGGCTACTGTTTTTCTATGGATGTTTCAGGTTTGATATTTGCCATGCGGGGTATTCGTGAAAAAGTGAGATGGCTAATAAAGGGGGAAAAGTCCACCGCCTAGAAAGATAAGTGCAAATGGTGTACATACCACGAAGACTTTGGTCACATCACTGAATATTGTATAACCCTACGAAAGGATATTAGTTACCTATTTAGCAAGTGATATCTCAAAGAGATCCTCGACAGAAGAAAACGAAGATCCAAAGAAAAGGATCAGGATCCTCATAAGACCCTAGAAAGACCAGGATCACCTCCAGTGGATGTTCAGGTAATCAATGTAATCTCTAGAGGATCGAAAATTTGTGGTACGTCTTACTCGGCAGTGAAAAGATATTCTAAGTTGTCGAAGACAGTGAAATAAGAAAGGCTAAAGCATAATACATTGATCAAAAACGAGAAGGAGATTACCTTCAACGAAACAGATATAATAGACGTCCAGGATCCTCATCACGATGGATTGGTGATCACTCTTTACATCACCAATCATTTTGTTAGAAGGATCCTTTTTGACAGAGTATCCTCAATCAACATCATACTTCTGGACGCTTTGAAGAAGATGAACATCCCTGAAGTCGAAAAACTGAAAAGATCCTCTGTGTTGATTGGATTCAGTGGCAAAACAAAACATACATTCAGCAAAACAAAGCTACCTATTTACATAGATGGGGTAAAATCTATGCAACACTTTTGTGTAGTCGATACATTATCCTCCTATATTTGTTATGCTAGGTAGACCATGGATCCACAATATGAAGGCTTTCCCGTCAACATACCATCCATGTGTCAAAATGTGCACTCTATGATGGATTGTAAAGATTAGAGGTGACTAACAAGAATCCAAGGTGTGTAGCAATTAAAATAGGGGCCACGAGGTGTGTAGCATCTAAAACCTTGAGATACTTAATTTCTTAAATATTTTCATTTTGGAGGAGGATCACGAAGAGAGCCATAGTGGTAACGATGTGAGAATGATCATTAACTATTTGACCCGCATTTTCGAACCTCGGGACTTGAGGCTTCAGGTCTCACACTGTGATCCAGGCCCGATGACACAAAAACCCTTATTTTCTAGTATTTAAAGTAATGAGGAACTAGGGTTACCCATCCTCAGCCTCTCTATAACACCGCAAAATTTAAAATAAATTTTCGCATATTAAAACACATTTTCCAAACACAATTATTAACAAAATCCCATTGTATCATAACTTTGTTTCACAAAATATTTCCCAAGATCAAAATACATAAATCCCATGCGTGTGTATGAATCATGTCGGCGCCTTCCCGCGATCATCACTGGTACTTGAAACACATAACACATAACACTATAAGCATAAAGCTTAGTGAGTTTCCCAAAATACCATACATAACACATACTAGCCAGTCGAGGCTATAACTCTGTGGGCCCTAACTCTGTGGACCCTTTGGTCCTAGCTCTGTGAACCTTCCGGTTCTATCTCTGATATACTCTGATATACACATGGTATAAATCATGTAGACATAATGCAGTGCAACACAACACATAAGTGGCATATAATAACTCTGTCACATAACTCTAATTACCACTCAAGGTAAAGTATGGTGAGAAGACTCACCTCAGATGTCTCGGTAAATCTCTGACTCGGTACAAATACAATCTAGCCTGCACCTAATCACATAAAGTAATACTCTCATAAATATAACTCTCAGGACTAGACTCAACCCTCTCTTGGCACCCTCAGAAGGGTAAAAGACCATTTTACACATCCTTTGGCTCAATGGCCCTTATTGTTGACCAAACCCTAAAAGTCAACCAAAGTCAACGGTCAAACTTTGACCCGACTCGTCGAGTACACTTGTACAACTCGGTGAGTCTACACATATCCACTAACTCCCTAGTTTCGCTTAGCATGTCGAGTCCCTCCCCTTTCTCAACGAGTTACACCTGGCATGAATCGCAGGGCTACCCCGACTCAACTCGCCGAGTCTCAAGATCAACTCGACGAGTTATGTCTTGAACTCCAGTCCTCTAATCCCTCTCTGACTCACTGAGTTATTCCCCCAACTCGGTGGGTCTACTCGCTGAGTGATTTACGGGAAACCCTAACCCTACTCGGCGAGTTTGATCTTTGGACTCGGCGAGTTCATGCCATGCACAAACTCCATTGACCTCCTAAGGTCATATCTATTCCTTAAATCCATAGATCTGACCTTCCCAAGCATGATAAGCACGTAAAGTTCAAACCTTGACACTCATATAACATCTAGATGGTCTTACTTGGTGATTTAGCCCCAAAAATAACCTCCTAAGTTCATGGCTCCCAAAATAACCCATAAAGTTCCAAGGGTTAAGGTCTCTGGACCTCTTTGAGTCCAGATCCAAAGCATAAACTCGTGAAGGGACCAATTGCTCCACATATCCATTCTATAAAGGGGTTAGAAAACCCTAACTCTAAGAATCAACACCAAATCTGAAGAAGGTCCGAATAAATACCTCAAGATGAAGTCTCTGAACTCTGAAATCACCAGAACTGCTCCTCCTCCAGCCTCCTCTTGCCTTGGTCACCTCCTTTTTGCAATCACACTAACAAAATGAACAAAAGTGGCCTCTCCTTCCTCACAATCGCTCTAGATCTCTTAGGGTTTCTCTCTGGGGTTTGGTAGCCGCAAATGACGACCCTAAGGGCCTTTAAATAGGTCCCAAACCCGGGAAATTAGGGTTTCATTAATTAGCATGGACTCGTCGAGTCCACTCATTGACTCCGAGTCCAGTCATGAAC